CAATTTAAAAGCCTTACTATATTATTGCTATTTTGTCTATTGTCAAATTTGATGTTCAAATCCAAAGTAATTAGTGCAGTGCTTTAAAAATAATGGACACAAAAATATTTAGGCAGTATAAACATTAATTGGAAAGAAAGGTTAAATGGTACTTTACCAACAAACATTTCATGAGTAGGTGTCCTAGTAGTAAAAGTGGATACATCTGAAGAAATGGGAAGGTGAACATCACCACTACTTTTTGTGAGGAAAGGATTTAAGCTTGGAATGGCATCATCAACAGCATCTACAGTAGCAGAGAAAGGATCTGTGCAGTCGAAGTGCATTACAGCAAAATGAAGAAAGGAAGTAAATTAATTAGTATAGTAATTAGTCAAAAGTGCAAAGTGAAAAGTAGTAGCTATATTATTATTAATCTTTAATGTAAAAATACCTAGCCACCAAGATGGAAGAATTGCATTTAACATATTTTAAAATGAATCCTCAGAAAAAAAAAATATGTGTGTTCATTAATAAAAGCAGTATACTAAGCATAGATCTACTCTCTGATATCAAGAAGCCAACAGTTAGGTAGCTGAAAAAAAGAATAACCAAAATATTTCTGTGAGAGTTAATGACCCTGAACCATGCTCTGCACAGCAAGTAGAACGGTACTGGCTTTGGCAGCATAACTCTATTTACAAAATGTATAGATACAATTGATGTATGTGTAATAATAAGTAAATTGTCAAAACTCAAAGTATTTGAGTAAAAAGCTGTCTCTACATGTGCAGATAACATATATGGGATAGCGAAAGGATGTAAGAAAAGTAAGAACAAAAAAGAAAGATAGGTCATTTAGTACCTTTGAAACAGATCTGATGACTGAGCTAAGCTTTAAAGCCAAGTCACTTAGACTTTAAATAATTTGTTAATGGTAGCAGATATATGCTATTATCAAATTGTACATCTAAAGTCATTTTAGAGCCATGTATTTACTATACCTCTACCACATTCTAGTGACTGAAAGTCATTTACCCTACCTTAAGTAAATGGCTAGGAAAAAATTAAGGAGCAGAACACTAAGTGTCTTAATGCTTTCTTCTATAACAATTAAAAATAAGAAGATATACCTGTGCTTCCAACTAGAAGCCTGTTCTTGTCTAGTTTGTGACCATTCCTGAAGAATACTGAAGTAACTTCTCTGTTTTTTACTCAAAGAATTATAAAGGCAGCCATGGCCTAAAGACCAGCTCATTTATCACAATATAAGCACACTAAGTCACTAAATTCAAGATAATTAATAAATCCAACTACAGTTTTAAGGCAGAAAATACTGAGGTCACTGGCTTAAATGTAGTAAATCTTTAAAAACTGATTTTTGTGTAAAAATACATTCTAGAAAATTACAGAACATCAATTCACACTAAAAAATAAAGACCTACAAACACACCAAAATTCATTGAGGTGCAAATCAAACTCAAATAATCATCTTTCCTATTTCTCTACTCTTCAATGAAAGGAACAACAAGGAAAAGGAATCAGAAAAAGTAATTCAGAAATAAAAAATAGATATCAGAAGTTGGTTTTTTGGACTACAATGAAAGTATTAATAATAACTCCTGCCATTAACTCCTTGTATAAGAAAGAAATAGCATTTCTTGTCAGTCCATTCAGTTTAAGTTTTATTTTTAAATATTTGATAGTGGCATGGGGTTTTCAAAATACTTGTACTTTCATGGACAAGCAAGGAACAAAAAACATCTGTCTAGTTTTCCATTCAAATGAACCACGAAGGAAGTTATATCAAAAAAGGGGGGAAAAGGACATACATTTCTATAACAGATCAATTGGTTTGTAAGAAAAGATATGTTCAGAAAAAGATTAGCAGTTATCTACTGGTCTATTCATCATTGTTGTTTCCATCTAAAAACTGAGTATTGATTATGTCTTTTTATATAAAACATCTTAAGAAGAATGTGCAGGGATGTATACAAACGCATTGGTATTGAGGTTAGACAACAACAAAAACCAGCACTTTATTTAAGAAAACACTATAGGGTAATCTAAGTGATGTCAGTCTACTAGTGGATACTATAATATAGATAATAATAAATCAGTCTTTTATACTTTTATCATTACTCATTTGAAAATTTGTTGATTAGCATTAGAGAAATATAATGCAAAGGATATAATAAGAATTAGAAAACAGCATTACAACCATATTATATCTTAAAGAACCTAAATACCTGCTTCTCTATTTACACAAGGAAAATTATTTTCATAGTGGTTTGTTTCTTGTTAGCTGAGAAAACATGCAAATTAAACTTCAAATGGATAATTTTTTGACTGAATTAAATATTGAAATCTTGCTTGAAATATTACAACAGCATACTAAGTTGGATAATGTTTATTATTACATGTTGTAACTCACAATTTCAAAATAATGAAAACATTTAAAATTTTTCTTATATATTAGTACTCAATAAGTGTTTATAGACTCAAGACTTTCTTGAAAAATGAAAGACTCATTAAAAATGCAATGGGATTAACAGGTGAGCTTGTGTTCTCTTTCTTGGTCATGTTCGTTTTTTGGTGGAATCTTAAAGGACTTTCACATTAACATGCAAGGTTTACACCCCCTAAGTCTATATGACTAATCTATGACTGCTGTTTATTGACACCTCATTTCTTATTTAAGTCTCTCTTATATTTTAAGATGATAAAAACAAGAAATGCAGAAATCAAGGCTTTAGAATAACAAAAAAAACACACCTTCATTTAAAAGGTACTGTTTAAAGGCAATATCATTAAATGTTGTATGTTTTCAATATTCAGGTAAATGGCTAATTTTAAAAAATCTTTAAGAGTGACTTATAATCAAAGCTTTTGCTACATAAGTTTTATTGATTTGTCTTAATCTAACCTTAAAAATAAAGTCAAAAACTTGAATAACATGGACATGAGTAACACTGAATTAGGAAGTACTAAAATTCTCCTCAGTTATTAGTGACAAAGAAGTCAACTGAAATTATCACCAAACTTGAATACCTAGTATCTTCAAATGAAAAGTCAAAACAAAACAAAATTTAATTCTTAAATAGAGAGATTCCTGGTAAAGATAATCATCCTTTCCATTTATATACTAATAAGCTTATTAATACAAAAAATAATGAATTGCTATTGTCTGTACTTGAATTCTATTTTAACACTTTTTACAGTATCAATAACAGCAATAACATTAATAAGGGAAATTTCAATGGAAATAGTAAAGAAAGTAAAATAACCTAAATTGGAAAAATAAAGTTTGCTAAATATATTGCTACATATTGTATTCACACTTAAGACTGCTATAGAATACTTTCTCTTTTAACGGGTGATAGGTTAATTCTTAAATGCTGAAAGTACTTAAAATTATTCTCATAATAGTAGTCTATCTGTTTTCACATATAACATCAACAATTCCAAGCAGAAACCTTTAATTTGTCACTATTAGAATTGAACAAGGTGTTCAAACAATTTCACAGTTCAGTTTCTTTGAAATGTTACATTCTTATTAAACCTAAAAATTTTTGCCTCTTAAAAAGAGAAGCAAGTTAAAACTGCTTAATAGTAATCTTAATTCTACTCATCTTTTCTAAGGCAATTCACAGAAAGGAGAAAATAAGCATGGGAATTTGGGCAGATTAAACATTTTTAAATCAGGATTTCTATCATTAGGATCTAATGAAACTCCTTTCTTAACCTTAATCTGTTCACTATAGTTCATTCAGAAAAATAATTCTCATAAAACCTTTTTAAAAATTATTGATTTTAAACTAGCTTTTAGTTTTAGAATTTATTCCAAAATTTTACGATTTAAATTTAACTAGCCTTGAAAGTCAATTAGGTTATAAAATCAAGTTAAAACCCACAAAATTAGACTAAAATTCTAGTTTCCATGTTTCACTATTTCTCTTCTCTGTCCTCTCTTGAATCAGAAATAATCTGTCAAAAAAATTAAAATGTCTACTATTTCATAAACATATACAAAACACCTCTGCAAACATAAAGTATTATCTCTCAAAAAGCATCCTAGGACTCAAGGACATATCAATGATCAAAATACTAAATAACTCCTGACTTCATTGAGATTGCACTTTAGTACACAAAACATAGACTGACTTATAACTAACTATAACAGATAATAAAGTTCTTGAATTTTTAAAGATGAAAAAAGCCTAATTTGTTTACTATAAAAACTCACTAGAACAATTAAATTATTCTGCTATGAGGTAGGCTGATAAATTCAGATTATACATGCACACCACTACAAATATACAGAGTATCTCCTTCCTAGTCTGAACAATTTCAGTGCTTATAAGATCATGCTTATATTCAAACAGAAGCTCCAAAATCAACCAAAGGAAATGAATGGAAAGTACAAATGGACTAGGTTCATTCCTTCCAAATACCAGGTCATGTTCATACTAAAACTACTTAATGTTGCAAACATTCCTGTTAAGACTGTTAGATTAAGGGGCAATTTTCTGAACATTAAAATCTTATAGGCCTGAATTAAATCAACACTTATATTAAATATAACTAGCATAAAGCTTGCCATTCCAAGCAGAATAGTTGTCTTAAAAAAACCACTTAAGTCTTATTAGAAATTTGCAATATATTTATACTTATATATATTTATATATATTATACTCCCCCCCACAAACTTTTCCTCTGTACCAAAAATAACTCATGCATTTTCTAACTACAAAACAGCAATTCAACCTGAAAGTATAATTTCACACTTAAAACATATATTTGATTCTTTATCTTCATTACACCTCATTTTATACCTCAAATGTACCAAAATTAAGTTTATAATCAAATGAAAATATCAAGGGGAAAATTACTTTTACTGTCATTTTTTTTTTCAAGTTTTCATGTACAAATGTGGGCAAAAACTACACAAATAAGTAAAACATCACAGAAGTCGAAAAGATGCCAAGACAACATAAAAAGTAGAATTCACTAATGCTTACCTCCCCACGTACTTGCTACCTGAGAGACACTTGACATAGGATGTACAGATGGGTGAAAACTTGGCTGTTGCAAATCAAGGAGATCATTTGGTAGCTTTGATGTGCTAGGAAGATATTTTGAAAAGGTATTTTATTTAGTCGGCCAACAGCTACTAGCCACTCTGCTTCAGTACATAAAAACATTACAAACACCAGTGAAAAAAAGTGCCAAAAAATGTAGGCCTCAAAGGAAGAACAATTTCAGCGAGGTTAACAACCCCATTCATCTCGCACAACAGTGTATCTTCTGAGGTCTGTAAAAATATTCAAGTACCCTACCTTCAGTTTACATAGGATTCAAATAACAACTCAGGAAGAATTTCCCCAGGAAAATACTCAGCTCCTTAAGGGACTATCCTAAATATGATTGCAAAACATGAAACTTCATGGCAAGTTTAATTTTTTAAAGAAAATCTGTCATCTTTTAACCTACAAAGAACATTACATTGCAGTCAAAACCCTACCTATTAATTTCACATTTACTGCTTACTATCCAAAACATCTCAATAAATAACGAGAAAAAATTCAAAACAGAGATTATATAAATTCATAATAAGCCATACTCAATTATATAACACCAGTTATGTGACATTACTTATAGGACATATTTCTTAGACAAGACTTTTTATAGGATAAAGGATAAAAACTTATAAAAAAGGTCCCAGAGTTAACTATAAATTGAGGCATTATGTAAAGCATAATCTTTAGCTTTCATGTAGTCAAAAACAAATTTCAAAGACATCTTTTAGATGTTAAAAAAAGCTCTATAAATAAAAATACAAATAAATTCAGTGCAAAATATACAGCAAGCATTCTGTAAAAGAACATAGTTATCTGTCTTTTATTACTACTATTAAGGGAAAAGGTCAAATCATTTATCTAGTTGCTACGTGCTCAAAACAGTCACTATTCTTTCCCTTTATCTAACTTCCCTGAGACAGACTTCTTTCCAGTATCACCAAATGAAGAGTTTGAAACTTAACAGGTTCATGTTATTTTACTGTGGTTAAAGAAGACAACATACAGGGCCCTCATTGGTGGCGCAAAAGGTTAAAAGCGCAGCACTGAAAAGCTAGCCTCCACATATTTCAGCACAAATTCCTGGCAAGGTAACCCACATGGCGTAGAAGACCTCTCCTATGTTGCCCACTGCTCCCCTCAGCAGTGTACCTCATCAATCTTCCTGTTCTGCTCACCACTCTGTCTCTGGTGAATCCTTTTACGACCCCCAACCCCCCACACACACCCACCTCGTGGCTTGTACCCCAGTTCCATATGCATAAATTAGTATTAATTTTTAAAAAAGAGAACAAACCAAAAAAGTAATAAGGCTAAAAAAAACACAAAAGTAAATCCAACAAAAACTCTGTCCATCTGCCCATTAAGACTTCAAAGAACAGGCAGCAACAGAGTTATAGTTAAGTTACACTGAGTTTGTATGACAGGAGTCAAACTTAGAGAATATCTTTCAAAGATGAGGTACAATAAATGGTAACAAAAATCAAAGGAATCATCATTTTCTATGGATTACTATATGCTAACCACTGTGCTAATTATTTTAACTAAGTCAGAGAGGAGGAGCCTGTTAGAAAGTTATTGGAACTCACCCCATAAATACTGATTCAGAAACTAGGGGTAATGATCAGAAATCTGTAGGTTAAATAAGTCCTTCAAGTGACTCTAATACTTGCTAAAGATTCAGAACCACTAACCTATACCACATAATTCCTTTTATCATTTGAAACTAAGGTTCAAATAAACAAATTAAGAGAAAAATGTCAAGATTCAACCAGATTTGACTCTCAAACTTCTACTTTGAAACACCATAAATAAAAGATAGGATAGATTAGAAAAAGCCCATTATTCTTCTTGTCTGGTAATATTAAATTTCCATTGTTAAGAAGTTTAAATTAGGCAACAAGTTCACTGGAGTTGGTCTGGCAGGCTTCAATCACACAGAAATATGGCAATTTAAGTCTTACTGTTTTGCAGATTACTGAGCTAACACCAAGGAGCAGACATTAAAGACATTTAATACCCAATGACAGAACATTTTGAAATATATATTATGTTTACAAACACACATAAATTAAAAGGGATTTGAACCATTGAATACTTCATAAATGTTTAGTTATAATTAACTTTTATACAATGAAACATTTGTACAAACATTCCAATAGTATAAATTTATAATTTAATCATTTTCTATTTTCTAGATATGCAAAATATAAATCTATCACTTTATAAAACTATGACTTATCATCTTTGTTAAATTCATGATTAATAAATTGAATTAACCTAAATCTGAAATACATAGTTTATAAACTTATGCATTCAAATAATAATTCAAATAATCTTCAATCTTTCCACCTACCTGTTAGAAGAACTAGGTGTAGAAAATATATCAATGGCTGGTGCAGTCATTATACCTCCTACTGAGGTGGATACAGGAGAGGCTGCAGTTGTTAAAGAGGTATGAGGTTTCTTTGCAAGTTCTTTTAGACGCTGCTCCTGTTGAGAAAGGGAATGACCATAAGACATAAAGAAACCAGTTTATACAGCATCTGAAAAAAGTATTTTCCAATTTTGCTCTTGGAGTAGCAAGGTATTCTGTTTTATCAATATCAAAAGTAGGATAAAAATGAGAACTACTGAGATTCAATTCACATGAATAACTATACATTAAATACAGATAATCTATTTAGAGGTTCCATTTTCTTTATGAACATCTGTGATTGTTTTTCCAAGTTGAGGGAATGCACACACCCACCTTTAAAGCTTTTAAACGAGCTTGTTCTTCCTCTAATGCTGCCTGCTTTTCCCTTTCATCCACTTTGGTTAGAGAGAGGCCAGTGCTTGCCAGGGAAGAAACTGCATTGGAGAGTGTTGTTGCCCTAGAATAATTTGACAGATTTAATTTGGCTCTCTGAAAAACATTTCATATTTCAACCAACTTATAAAATGGTCTGTCAACCTTATCATGGAACAGGCATTAAGAGTCAAAACTAGTACTTCACATGAAATACATCACTCAGTGATCCAGAGGATTTATGCAATTAGCTGATTTACACACACAATACTTTATATTTGAAAAAGTGTTAATACTCTGGAAAGGTACTCAGTAAAGAGGAGGAACAGACATGACTCTTACAAGTCCCAAGAAACAGGACCAATGCTTCTCAGAGGAAATGGATCTGCTTATTCACAGGCTGGGATTTGTCAGGGCTACCATAAGAACACTAAAACATGAATAGCTTTAACAAATTTGTGCCTAGGTGTTCCCCTGTAGTAAACTCCAAAAAATGTTCTGACAGAACCACAGGTTTCTTCAAAGAAGGTCAATTTCCTTTCTGTCACCTTTCCATGGACACTTCTCTGTTTTCTGCCACCTTTTGTAAAACTAGCATTTCCTTTCCAAACAAATCATACATGACAATGCATCATCTCTTATTGGCAGAGTCAAACAAGTCACTTCCTTCCTACTATATAAAAATCGATTCCTACTGTATGCTCCCAAGTTAAACACCCAAATGTTCATTCTATGCAAAATAAGCACAATGTAAATAATGTTAAGCTGTAAAATTACTCCTCAGGGACTTTTATTCACTTTCCTTTTAGCATACACTAAACATTATTAATTTCTGCTCTAAGCACGGAAGTGAGTAAACTACTAAATTTTAGGTAAATTCAAGTTTATAATGAGTTACTGTAACTCAGAAGATAGAGGAAATTGTGATAAAAATTGCAAGAAATTTTTTTTTTATTTGTACAGAACTGGGGTACAGGCCAGAGATGCGGAGGGTGAGAGGATTCACCAGAGACAG